GCTAATCATAAAAAGTATTAATAACAAAGATGCGAAGACTGTTTTGTGTTTTTCATTAACTCGTCGATATTTTAAACCTTTGATCAATGATAGCAAATAAAATATTTCAATACTCTTCTACAGACAAACAAACTTATATCAGTTTATATTTTTTTGTAGGCCAATTAACTCATTCTTTAACGATTGATACGTTTTTCGTTTATTTGTTTTGGGTTTTACGTCACATCGACACAGTATAGGTCATATCGCGACGTTCCAGCTTTACTAGTGGAGGAAGACCTCAGGTGCCCTTCCATGCATTATTTCAGGCACGAACGGGTACCTAAGTAGAACCACCGACGTTCCGTAAGCTAACTGGATAGCTTCTTCACATGAAAGAATCCAAAGTCCCTGTGGGGATTCGAACCCACAGCGGTGAGGGGCAAGTGGTTTGAAGTCAACGACCGTAACCACTCGGCCACGGACGCCCCATTTTGTTTTGTTAAATAAAAATTTTCAATAAATATAACCTAAATAAACTGTAGGATTGAATACGTATATTTTTTTTAGAACTTTCTAGTGTTGAATACGATTCCTACAAAAATTCATTATCCGCGGGTATCAACTTTGAATGCTTCAATAAATTCTTCAACTTTAGAATTTAACGTACGATTAAGATAATATGGAGAACATTTTAGGGTTATTAAATAAATCAAAGAAATAAGAATTTAATCATGATTTATGGATAACCAAAAATGCTTGACATTTCATTCATACTAAAGCTTATTTCTCATAATAATACAATTTGTATGATGATTTATGGTATCTACTAGAAAACAATCTGAATAAAATGGAAAAAGTAAATTCCTTAAAGGTTGTTATAACAGAGTAAACAATACCTCCCGGTAACTTATTTTCATCTGATTTCTTTATCAAATATGCAAATATGCATTCAGAAAAATAAATAATCCGTGATTTAATGCTTTCATGTTGTAATGAGAAAATCAATGTCAAGTGAAGTGTCAATAAGGAACAACTGTTCCTATAGACTTAAATATGCCCTTATCGAAGAGTCAACAAACTACATTGTAACATAGAAAAATCAATTGACAGTGCTTCTTTTATCACAATGATTTTAAGATTCTTTTATAAAATAGAGAGAAACGGAATGCCCAAAGAACGCCTAAAAAGATGAAATTGAAAGTGTTGCAGGCTAAGTTTAATTCCACCTGTTCACGGACGGTACTAGAAAGTGCAAGTTAACACTTCACGCCTTCTAGGACCGGTTTAAACGGAATTCAACATTTAATTATGGCAATGGTGAAATTTTGAATCTCATCCATCTACAGATGTATTTATACGGCGGTTATCAAGAGGTTATGTTGATAGTGATTTCAGCAAACCTGTGTCATTATAGTTATGCCCATTATTCAATAACTGCAAATTTGCCAAACACAACACATTGTAATGTATATGAAAATTTAATGATTGATTCAGAATTCTATTACGATCTTTTTTCTATCTTTTCTGACTTATTCTCATTAGAAGTAACTTAAAGCATGGTTCAATGTTGTTTGATACACAATTTATAGATAAACAAATATCCGGTTAATCAATGAATTTGCAAATATTTTATTGAAAAACAAGCTAGAAAGAAAAATTGTCATTACATTATGTAAATTATTTTTGAAGCAGACCTTATTTTTTAAGAAGTACGGCTATTTAAATCTCGTCATATAATTACGGTAACTAAAAGTCTGAATTTTGATAGAATGAAGTTTTTATTTACAAAAAGATTGTTGCCGACCAGGTGCGACCTTGGACCTGACGCGTTAAAAAAAATGTTCCTTTAAAACTTTGAACGTCCTATTTCAATTTTTCAGTGTCATCTCTGTATCTTTTGTGCATTGATTATTGACTTGAATTTTATCTGAGGACTTTTTTTTCTGAAATAATCACCTTACTTTACATTTATTCTTTTCTTATTTAAAATGTCAGAGATCAGGCAGTATTTATTAAAGTCATTATAAGAGTAACGAAGATGTAAACATGTGATAATTAACAGTGTTTCAAGGGATTCACAAACATCCGTTATGGTGACACCAAGTCCGTGTTTTTATTCCTCGATGTATGTTCACACACGGAAACGCATTATTTTATTGTGACGAAAATCCATCTTCAATCATTCGTTATTAACTGATCTTATCCCATCCTAATTCCTAACGGATGACGATGTTTGTAATTTGTTAATGTAATTTACATTATTCTTTTAAATAAAAGATTAAATCAAAACAATTATTTTTTATGTGAATAACGTTTTTTGTTTTGAAGCTGAAAATGAAATGAACATTGCAACATTAAATAAAAGGTGTTCATTTATATTCGTTGATATTATAATGGTACAAGATTCTTCACCTGTTACATAAAAATACACGAAACATAAATCGGAATATATCCTCTAAATGATACAAAAAATACCAACAAGAAATATAAACAAATAAAAAGGCTATGCTGTTATTGGCATGTACATGTAAAGCAATGCGGCGCACTGTTTATCATAAAAATTGACGTTAACAACATCATAAGCGTATTGTCTGTATCGGAGCAGCTTTTTACTCATACACAAAGTAGGCCAATACGTGTTCCACATGTTGTTGATGGCGGCGGATCCACTGCCTATATATATATTTTATAATGTATCATGCATACGAGAAAATAAAAGAATAATACAACTGAGAACAAAATTGTCATTATCTTATTATAAATAAAAGTATTGACACAATTTCTTCGTAAGACTACTACAAAAAATAATAATAAAATTTTTAAAATTGTAAACCAAGAATTTAATATATGTAATAAATGTATTAACAATTATCATTTTAAAAATGTAAGCGTTTAATTAGGGTTGACTACACTGTCCCGTAGCTATTGTCGAAAATCATTGACAATGTCGGCAGTCAATCGGCTGTCATTTTTCAACGTCTTGGCGATTGACGTCCTAGAAATCTTTTTTTTCCAGAATCTATCTTACTTGTTTTCCATTTCTCCTTTATTTTTCCCTAATTGTTTATGCTTATCAAAGACTATGCTGTGACTTTCCGAAACTTTTCCTTGGATAGCCATAATCTTTTTCTACGTTTTAAAAAAGATTCTCACCCTACTTTAGACAATATTTTCTTATTGATCGATTTTCGAGAAGTTCCGACGACAGTTTAACGTGAGTATTTCTTGAACAAGTGACTTTTGAATTGTGATTGCAAATATAAATTTGGTTTAAATGGAGTTTTTTTTCTGTCAACGTCAAAGATATGGCTCATGACGTTTTGGCGTATTTTGAAACCTAAATGTGCCTTATTGTAAAACTTTCGTATCAAAAAGCGTCTGGTGTCAGCGCAAATTTACGCACTGTGCCGGTGTACGTTACAATGGTGTTTTTAATTCGCTGTTACGGACTATATATGTTTTGTTATCAGATTGGATATTGTTATTGTTTTCCGATTAAGTGTGATATATAACAATAAGTGATAGGTTGAAAATTCTTCAATTGAAATTCCCAGTCCGGTTTATTTTTGATCATCCCTCGTATCACTAAAACATTACCCGAATTATGATTAATTGATATGTTTAAACTAAAACTAAGCTAACATAATGTGTCATGTCTTAAAATATGTCTGATGCAAATTCTGTTTTTAAACGTTTCTATGTATGACTAACAGTAATTACTTGTGACATTGCATTTACCTAAATGCAGTCATCTAATTGTATCTTATAGATTTTGTCTGATTAATCGATTGATATAACAGATGATCCACTTTAGCGATATCCTTTATGCTACTATTACGGGGAATATGTATTCACTAGACATTTTGTAATGTCAAAGCTAGTTTAGATTATCTAATATATGAAATAAATATGATGTATCAGTACTGCGATTTATTTTAATTGGTACCAACTTCAAGTCAATGTTAGTATTGTATACTCAAAGCATTGTAAATAACTGAACAAGTATTACTGCTGGAATTTGATGAAATGATGGATAATGATTTTTCCTAAAATATTTTTGATGTTTTAAATGACAAGATTAAATTAATTTAAGTGACAACTCATGTTAGTGGAATAATATAGTAAAAGAAAAAAGAAATGATATGAAATATAATAAACGTATATATTTAACTATAAATTAAGATGATAGGTATACCACAAAATGTTCCTTAATCTATAATAAATTTCAAAATGCCTTAAAGTATTATGTTCAATGGCAAGACTTTACATTTATCTCTTGAGATATATTTGAGCATTAATCTCGTATTTGTCGATAATTATTTATTATTTCGAGAACAAAAGAGCACAGTTTTAGCATTTCGTATAAACTAAAAATAATATCGTATTTGTTTTTCCTTTTTCATTTTTTTGATTTCAATTGCAAATACTTGATTGCAATAATGTTCAGCCATTTTCAATTATATAGAAATCACTTTTCATCGATACGATATAATAAAAAAAAAGCAGAAATCAAAATAGATGTTAGCAATTATCTTAATGAGATGGTTGGTTATAACGACAAATGAATGTATCGACCGATCAATTACTGTTCGTTATCAACAGACAAAAATGTCAATATTTAGTCAGCGTTTTGTATATTTGTGAAATGGATCTGAATGGATATTTAATGTTTGCCAATAGCAAGAGAGTCATAGACGGAACCTCTCGTAGAAAATCTGCAGAATACTTTGTAAACATGAATCAATCTTCAACTTCCGTAAAGGATAATGTTATTCTTTAATGACATTACTTGTTTGTAAGTTCTCTACCTAGTCTTTGTTTTTGTACCTAGTCTTTGTTTTTGCAAGTAAACATCATAATTTGTATTCACTTTTAAAACATCTTGAAGAATAATTATGCCCCTTTATCTTAAATTGAAAAGAGTTTTGTAATTGCTCGAAAAACAATTAGATGTTCTGTATATAGTAATAGGATAATGTACAGCATATCATTTTTATCACATATAATTATGTGATATCAGCGGTAGTCCGATAGCCCGTGACTACCAAATTCCCCCTCGGACTACCAATATTTTGCAGACGAAAGCCCGACCGGGCTACCGAATTTTCGATAAACAACTTTTTTTAACGAATGAATTATCCGTCGTAATCGTCTCATGCGTGCTCGATTGCTTCATTAAAACAATGATATGATTAATCGATCGCATTTCGCGCCGTATACTGTAATAATGGGAGATCACTCTGCGAAGTGTGAATTATGTTCCATCAATTATAGTTCGCGGAATTTCCGATCAAGCATCCCTAGAAACCAAAATGGCTTTCGCACTCAAATTTTACGCCGGGGCAAAACCTGGTGTTAAAAGAAAATTAGACAGCGAGAACAAAAGTAAGAAGTTATATGAATTGACCCGTGAACGTGATTTTCAGCCTGCGTGGCAGAAAACCCGTAATTGGCTAGTACACGAAAAGGGAAAAATGTTTTGTACTTGGTGTAAGGAAATCAACCCGACCAGCGATTCGTCCTTCGTAAAAGGATGTGATAATTTAAGAATTGATACACTTAAAACTCATGAAAAAAGCAAGCAACACTTACGTAGTGCTGACAGACATGTTAATGTTAATGAAAAATCGACTTAAGAAGCGACTTCATGCTTGACACAGCTGAATAAATCTCAAATTGGCCAGCTGTCCATTAAAATGAGAACAGCCCATTTCATTGCTAAGCACCACAAATCTTTCTTAGACTATAAACATATTTGTCAACTTGACAAGATGAAAGGTTTGGATGTTGGTACATCATACACAACTGACAAAGGCGCTGCAACACTGCTGCAATCTATCTCTAGTGTAACCAGGACAGAGGTTTGCCAGAATATTTCAAATGCAAAATTTTTCTCGTTCACTTGTGATGGTTCAAGTGACTTTACAGGGGATGATTATGAGTCTATTTATGTACGTACGTGTACCAATGGGACCATTCTGGACCAGTTCCTATCCATTGGTATTGCAGAGTCTGCATCGTCTAGGGACATTCATGTCCATATTTGTGATACATTTACAAGGCTTGGCCTAGGAAATGAGTTTCAAACCAAGCTGGTTGGATTTTGTTCAGATGGGGCATCAAATATGCAGGGTAAAGATAAAACATTTAAACTGAAACCTATAAATTATAAACAAATAAATGCATATTTTTGTTTATATTTACACCAGATAAGAAAAATTCTTTCTTGGATCCAATGTGTCAAATATTTATGACAGTTTAAGATAAAAACAATTGCATTGTAGTCTAAAGTAATGATAATTAAAACATTATTAGTCTTAGATAATTAAAAGAAAGTCAGGAATCTTTGCATCAATAAATAAATAAACTCTTTTACATGTAAAATTCATTCACATCTAAATATATATACAAATTTTAGTATTATAATTTGAATATTCTAATATGATTTCCCACTTATTTTCAGGTCACAAATCAGGTCTAGTTGCACTCCTAAGAAAGACACACCCACATATAGTGACAGTTCACTGTCTTGCTCACAGACTTGAGCTCGCCTTCAAAGACACAATTAAAAAATTCCCTCCATATGAAAAGATGATGACTCTTCTCCTTGGGCTGTACTACTTGTATAGGAAGAGCCCAAAGTTAAAAATGGGTCTAAAGAGATCATTCGAGGCGTATGAAATGAAAATGCTGTTGCCTACACGTGTAGGTGGTACCAGGTGGCTACCTCACCTAACCCTAGCCATACGAAATTTCATTCGAGGATATAAAGCAGTAAGAAGCCATCTAGAGTCTTCATCCCACTCAAGTCCAAAGGCCGAAGGACTAGCAAAATTGGCAGCTGACTCTAATTTGCTGAGTTTTGTTCTGTCATTGCAGGTATGTTTTATTCAAAATTCTGACATGTTTAAAAAATAAAATAACTCTTATACAGAATTTTATGCTAATAATTTTCCCAAAAAGATTAAGAAGGTGAAATAAGTGAATAAAGTGCTTATTGCAATATAGAACTGATATCAACTACCCATGGTACAATGTTTTATTAGAGAGACATGAAACTACTTTCTGAACCACTAGTAATTTTTTTTAATCTATTGCTACAGTAATTTAAAAAAAGCCTACAGAACTAAAGTAAACCAAGTCAAAAGTGTATATGTTTGAAACTAAAATAATTTTTTTAATTGACTATTGTTAACAGAGTAATTTTATTTCAAGGAGGTCATTCAGCCATTGGTAAGACTAAGCCTCAACCTACAGAAAGATGACCAGACCCTTGCGGATGCTCACTGTCACGTCGCTGCAACACAGACTGTGCTGTCACATCTTCCAGAGAGGTAGTTTAATGTTACATTATATAAAATAAAGTTTAAAAAGACACAAACAGATTTTAAAAAATACATAATAAACACTGAAGTCAATACACAAATTAGCCAAAATTTAAACAGAAATAAAATTCTTAGGTTGTAAATTTACATGTAAAAGTTTTAATGACTGCCAATATATTTTCAAATAATGATAAGAAACAGTGATTTCAAATGATTGATTTAAAAGGGAGTTTGAGAACATCAAGGAAGTAGAGACTGGGGTATACCAAGGCCTTCCTGTCAAGCAGAAAGGGCGTCAGTCCTCTGGTTATGTTGCACAATTAGTGGAATATATTCTTGGGCATATGGCCAGTAGGTTTCCAATATCTTCAATCATTGGCACTACAGCTATAACTAGCTTGAAAAACTGGCCAACTGAAAAGTCTGCCATTCAAGGTTTGAAACATGTTGAGAAATTATGAACATGTTTTGTTGTTGTTAGTTTTAGTTTGATGTTGATAGTTTTTGTTTTAAATGCATATTGTTTCATCAATTTCAATCATCAGTTATTGTTGTTTTCTAATGAAATTTTGTAAATTTATTACTTTATAAAGTTCTGTACTGTAGAGTAATTGTAAAGACTATTATCCATCTTAATGATAGACACATTAATAATAAAATGACAAAACAAAATCTATTTATTACAATGATCATGTTAACATTACCATTATACATTAGATCAGACTGCTGCAGACATCAACAATTTTATCAACTTATCACCACTTGATCTGTATTTTGAAATTTTAGATTATGGTTCAGATGAGGTCAAGGCTGCAACTGCTCACTTTCAGTCCCTTCTTGAGACATCTGGTGTTGAGGTAGACCTAATTCTTGGTGAATGACAACTTCTCAAAAATCTAGTCACTCAGAAGTAAGTGTGTTTGTTAATTTTGATAACCTGACTACCAATAAAAATTGTTCAATGTTGAAAATGATTTGTTCCTATATGTAACATGACTAGTAGATGATAAATCTTATTTTATTCATCAGGTATGGAGACAAGATGCAGGAGCTTAGTTGGAAAGCCTTCCATACCTTACGACAGGAAAGCCTTGAGAATTGCCTCACCCTTATTGACCTATTAAGGACCCTTTCATCAACCTCAATGAAAAATGAAAGCTCATTTTCTATTATGAAGTTGACCAAGGGAAAGAGGAGACCCCGTATGAAATCCTCAACACTGAACGACTTATTGACTGTCAGTTTGATATCACCATCAGTCAGCCAATTCGATTCAAGCAAGAGCATTGAACATTTTTTGGTAATCATGCTAATTTCTTACTTCTTTTTATGTATACTTAAATTTCATTAGTGAAAAAATTACAAGTACCTCATGTCAGGTTCTGTCTTAGTATTATATACATATGTATTGATTTTTTTAAAACTAACAGTATATAATTTTTTCTCAAACTTGAGAAATAAAACATTTTCAAGTATTTGTAAGTTAACATTTCAATTTCAGAGCTCCTCTGTTAGGCCTCGAAGAGTAGATGGTTATGAGAGAAAGATCAAGAAGGCAGCAACTGTTACAATAGTCACAATAGACGATGAACCTGAGGAAGATGTGGAGCAAACTGACCTTCAAGAGGTAATTGTTTTACAGCTTACTTATTCTTATAAGTTATCTCCTTTTGAATTTTTTTTATTGAAAACATTACTTTGAAATAGCAAGTAAATAAAGCCTTTTAAATGTTAATATTATAATACTTTTTACAGGATGTTACAGCAGTCCTTGGCAAGGATTTATGGCCTGATACATCTGATGATGAAGAATCCGATGATGAAGACATGGACTATTCAGAATCTGCAATCGATAGACTTCTGTCGCTTTATACCAGAGAATGAATTTATTTTCAGAGGATAAATTATTTTTTAAATGAAATAACTCTGGAATATTAAATTTTTGAAACCTGGCAATGTTCTTTTTTGTTCCTTCCTACAAGCAAAGGTGTCAGTAAAGTTAACCTGTATGTTTTATAGTGCAATTGTGATATTTAAAGGTTTTTAAAGTTCGGGCTAGTGAAATGTCTTTCGGACTAGTGAATATTCTAATCTGATAGCCCGACCAGGCTAGTGGATTCAAATCCGAATTTCGTACACTGTGATATCTACACCGGTATCAAAATTTCTGTATCATCTAAGGTCAGAAATAGAATGTTTCCATCTTTATCTATTTTGCAATGTCATTTTGATATCGGCCGCAATTTTCATATAAATGGGAACAAAAATGAATATGTTTGTTCTGCCAATACTCTTCTAATATTTTCATTGTTTGTATAACATTCAATTTGGTGTTTCTATCCTTGGTTATTTGTGATATACTTTAGCATGTTCTTCTAATTTGCTGACTGTGGAAACTGAGTCAAGTGAATTAATCGCAATATGAGATCATATTTGAAAGGCCTAGTAAGCCCCAAGAATGCTATTATTTTGATTTCTAAATAGTGTTTTATTTTTAGATTTTCAAAAGATTACTCAAGGGTCGTATAGCTGAGTCATTCTTTGCTACTCTTTCGTTATAGAAATTACATTTAGTATAGTAACAATGATTAAGTTTTGTTATGGATGTCAAAACATTTTGCTACCTTTGTGACAATTGATTTCACATTCAGCGCTAATTTCTTCAGATGATCGGCATCTCACATATTCTTTATTAATTACAACATAATAAAACACATGATCCCTTTCTATAAAATGAAAAAAGTATTTTTTCTGAGGCTCAATTTGCTTTAAAAATATAAGGAAGCGCAATTGAAATAAAACCTTTACCGGGCATACTTTTCTGATACATCCTGTCAAGAAAATCACTGCATGGTATTTGAAAATCTTTTTCAAGTTTGTTAAACTTTTGTCTCTGCTTTTTGAAAAATACTACAAGCACCATATCTTTGAGTGTGAATATTTTTGGGATGATTTTATTAACGCCGTGTGTGAAAGGTTTTTAATGTTGATTTATCAATTCAGCTGAAGGAAGAATGTAACACTATACATGAGTTTTGCTAAAGAAGAGAATGACCACCTCTTTGAAGATTTCAGAGCGTATTTTCATATTTGTTAATTTGTTTTTTTTTATTTCACTTTTAGACTAAACCCTGTGTGTGTGACACGTGACTATCAATTACAGCTTGACAGTGCCTTCTCTTACTCCTCATTAGGTTTCTGATCATTCTTATGAGTATGCCTGCCCATTCTTGGACCAATATGGCTTCAAGCTATTGGATGATTCTGGGTTGCAACTGAAATTCTAACCTGCATCTCATTCCACATGTGTTCTATTGGATTTAAGTCACGTGAGTGATCTGGGCAGTACATACGCTCAATAGACTCTCTTTTCAGGACGTCCCGCACCAAACCTGGCCCTACTGGGGTGAGCATTAACGTCCATTAGAATGAACTGATCGCCGACTGCTTCAGCATACAATGTAACCTGGTTGTCTAAGATGTCGTCTATGTATCGCTGACCTGTCAATGTGCCTATTTTAGCATAACCAGGTCAGTTCGTCCATCCCAGCTGATACTTCCCGACACAATAACTGACCAACCTTCGAAGCGGTCACCCTTAGAGATTTTTGCAGCCTGAAACTGTTCATCTCGTCTTCTTCATACACTACCATTCCTAGTTGTGAAGTTTAGGCAAAACCTGGACTCATCAGTGAACAGAACGTGTTACCAGTGTTGCATGGTATACCGTGTATGTTCTATGGTCTATTCCAAACGGGTTTGGCGATGTCGACGCGTCAAGGGGATACGTATGCAAGGTCTTTACAACCAAGTACCTTTATGAAGCCTACGTATCGTCTGCGTGGAAACACAGAATCCCGCAGGATAAGCAAGGTCATCTCGAAAAGAAGTTGCTGTCAAAAACTTTGCATGGCTTGCCTGAACGACCAAAAACCGATCCTGAGCTGGTGCTGTGACCCTTGGCTGACGTCCAGCATGCCTGCTGGTGGGTGTACCATGTAGCCGGTATATTTCCCAGGCTCTGGTGATGACGGTGTGGTGTATACCAAACGCCGCACCAACCTTGCGGAAGGTGGCTCCCTGCTACACCATCCTTACAGCCCTCCATAACTCTCTAATGCCGCCTTATGTTAGCATTTGCCATATCGAAGTGACAGATGTAAGAAATATAAGCCAATGAATGACAATATGCCGGTAATGTCGCCATATAACAAAAGACATTGTGATTGTACATCCCATAAAAACATGAAAATATTGGGGTGCATGCTTTCCATGCTACCTAGACTTGTAACGGTTTAGTCAATACGGATTCATGTCAGGGGACTATCTCTAAACATTGCTGAATACTGTTTTATACTTGCGATAATATAAAAATTGACCTATGGTGCTTAGCAAAAGTTGAGAAGTAGAAATAAGAATTAAAGTCGAGTTAAGTTAAATGTCTTGTTTATAAAGATTTTCCGTAAAAAAGTCTATACATTGTTCTACAAGCCTTAGTATTCAGAACAATAAACAACTGCCTAACTGCGATGCACTAAATGAGATATATTTGGTTACAGATTGCATTTGTTATTTAAAAATATTCCAGAATACATACAGATATCGATTACTCTATTCACATTTAAAACTGTTTACTCTGTTAACCAAATAAACTCGTTTATGAGTACGATGTATCATAATAAGTTAAAAATGATCAGAAATCTAAGGGGTTATATAAGCTCTTGATAGGCCGAGGGTTTAAAGTTATTGACGTCAAATCACTTGTCTAAAACCAGGAACTTGAATCAATACACTTTTCAGAAAGCTTGCTTTAAGAATGTCTGTGGTTCTAATCAGATACTTGGTCTTGCCCGAAGTAATGCACGAAAGTCAAGAGCACCAAAGAATGTCGTCAACCAGTAAAACCGGAAAGTCGCCATAAATCATTTATTGTCGCTATATCTTTAAACCCAACACAACAAACAAGCAAATAAATATCAGCTCTTTCAATTTTTCTGACAATACATCTTCAAACTGATATAAGTTTAATAAGTTTCCTAATCTCGAGCATATAATCGATCGTTAATATGTCCGTAAACCTTACTCGTTATGCATTTTCAAATTTGCATAATATTGTATTGTATATAATAAATATGGAAATACAAAGAACGTCATTTGAGATTTTATAACACATACTTGTGAACCGACATTTCAAGTATCAACGGCATGTAATTATTCCCTTTCAGTCAGTAATGATCAATAGTTTCCTTTGATTCTCAAGAATTATAACAATGTTGCCACTAGCATCTGTTAATTTCCCTTCAAACTTTGGTCTTAAAAAATATAAAATGTAATGGTAAAACAATATCAACATAGGGGTGGTTGTGTAAATATTAAAATGCCATACAAATTACGTTCAGATAACTTTATAACGTAACTATGCTCTAAATCTGATATTGATCTATTACAATTGTGAAAAGACATGTGAATGATTTGTTTCAAATTGTGTGTTACAATGATAATCTTTAAATTGCCATTATAGCATCATCTTTCATAATACTTTGTTTCCCTTACTTTGATTTCTTTTTGATATATGGATACAATAATTTACAAATCTTAAATGTATTGATTTACAATATATTTGTATAGGTTAAAATGGCAAGTTAGTTTGTAAAACAAAGCTCATAGAAATAGATTACGTTCAAGTAATCTAAACAGGCTGAAACATATGGAATTAATGTCATAGCTATGATTCTGGTCTTTGTTAAGTGAGATACAAGTTGTTAACAGTACAGATGTTAGAGATAGTATCAAAGAGTTGAACCCTGAGATCATTACAGAAATGATACTAACTCTTTCGAGGACATCATTTTCTTTCGCTTATACAAAACTATTTAGGTGAATTTTGTATGTTAACTACAGTTTTATTTCAAATAAATGAATAAACATATTGAGTTCTGTACTTTTGTTGTGGGATCAATATTGTAAAGTCAGAAGGTAGAAATGCATTATGGTTTAGAGAAGTTCCGGTGATTATTGTTTGCTTATCAAAATTATTTTGTTAACTCTACTGAAAGATGGTGAAAATAAACATTATAGATAATTTAACATAAGACAAAGTTTTCATTTTGAAAGCAGAAAACGCTTGTGATGACTTTCTAGGGATTCCAAAGAAAAGTGCCTTTGAAGTTCACGAAGAAATACAAGTAAAGTGGACAGACAGATGTATTCGTCTTAAATTTGATCAAGTTTAAGTTTTCCATATTGTGTTCATTTGAGATAGACTAACTGTATAAGCATATTCAATAGGCGGCTTCATAGATGAAGAGAATATAACTTTTAGTGATCTTCTGTCAAGTGTAAATTTAAGTTTTCTCATGATATAAATTCTTTTCAAAATCCTCTCTTTGACAGTATTAAAACGTGCATGTCAAGAGCAATCAAACGAAAAGTTGAGATCAAAAGGTTTATGACATTTTACTAAGATGATAAGCTGATGAGACAGTTGCTGTGGCAGATACGAGATTATCAACCATTATGTGTCAATTGGTGGTCATTGGCTAAAAGATGTGTGTTAGACTTCAAGTCGTTCGAAATATTATTGAATTATACCAGGAACAATAGAGGCATAGAAATAGAATCTTCGAGAAAGGAACTCTTGCTGCAATTACTGATAGCCTGTAAAATTTAGCACCCGAAAGAACGACATATTGGCGTGTGTTTGAGAGATGATCAGAGAAACAGTTCATCAACAGTTCGTAAATCTATGTCAGTGTATAGTGATATACATATTATCTTATATAATACATTAATTAAATTTTAAATTTTAATTTCATGTACAGGTTATATCAATGTCAATCAAGGAATTTGAAGCATACCTGTACGAGAGGTGATTATTAAAATATTCAATTTAATATAGTATTTTAAATTGACAGTTATTTTAATGGTTATGCGATATTAGACTTTGTGTTTGCAAATTAGCATTGCTAAACATAAAATGTATAGATAACAAAGATTTGAAGATTGTTTTGTGTTTTTCATTAACTCGGCGATATTTTAAACCTTTGATTAATGATAGCAAACAAACAAACTAATATTAGTTTATATTTTTATAGGCCAGTTAATCAATCTATTCTTTATAAAATTAACGATTGATAA